CAGCACACTTTATCAAGAGAACAACATGTTAACAACCAGGTGCTTAGCCTTGATGTTAAGTCACCTTCTAGGCGAGTCTAGGACCTGCCTCTTGGACCCAGCTTCCTGCCATCGCAGACCAGCAGAGGCAAAGGGAATGCGCCCTAACGGGACCCTGCCAATCACGTGAGCTCCTGGGTTTTCAGCTAGTTTCCTGCGATCTGGCTTAGCCCCGGCCATAACAAGCACTTAAGGAAACAAGCAGCAGAAGGAAGCGGGCTCTCTCTCTCCCCCGCATCTCTCCCCCGCATCTCTCTGCTTCTCAAATAAACACCTTGTATCAATACTTGTTTCCACACTGGAAAACAGACTTAATTAGATCATGGCATTCAGGCACAAAAAAAAAAAAGTAATTTTGAAAACAACAGGATTAGCTTGCTTAAAAAAAAACCTTCATCAATTCCACTGCTTGCTGATTTAGTCCAAAGTCCAGGCCAGAGACTTAAAAGCATCTCATCAAGTGATTTCTGAAAATCTCTGTGGTGCTATCTTCTAATATGCTGTGAATCCAATAGCTTCTAAACCACTTCCCACCCAACAACACCTGCATGAGTGTGCAGATCACAGCAATTCTGAAGCGGCTTTAAAACATGTGCCTAACATTGACCTCCCAAGATCCAATTTATACTTCCCTTTATAACCCTCGACAGAGGCTGTGGTGTGGAGCACACAGCTTCTGGTTACAACACACAGCTCCCATTCCACTCTTCCACTTTGAACATGAGAATGTGAACCTGACATGTACTGGCAACATTTATAAAAGTAAGTATTCAGCGAGGGCTACTCAATTAATTCTGTCTTCCCAAATGAAGACGGCCCAAGGATGATTGGAATTTTGTACTGGGGAGGTCGTTCTGGCAAATTTCAACCTACCCACCAAGAACAGGATTCCTGTATTCCCACCAGACCTGTGAGCAATTTCTTCCCAAGCTGTGCTTAATTTCCTCCTGTCGGCTAACTGGAGTTCTCTCCACCACCCTTCCCACTCTCCTGGGGTTCATGCAGTTCCCCTCATAAGTCGTCATCTCATCTGAAGTTACCTCCAGCCACAAGGCAAATTCTGGTACTGCCTCATGTGGGCAGCTGCCTCCAGGGCCCGTTCTCTACACTCCTTACACAATGCTTCAATTCCCACTTGTCAATCCCAGCAGCAAATCCCCACAGGATCACTGGCTGGTCATCGTCCTCTTGGTCCACTGAGCATCGAACCTGGGGGAATGCCACTCACATACTTTTGGGGACCAGGAGATGGGGACCTACGAGCCTGAGCCCACCCCATCCCCACTGAGTGCACCAGAAGGCTAAGCCTGCCATGCAAGTGCAGTAAGAAAAAACACACGGTGATGCTTCCATACAGAAGCTGGGGATACCTGCACCATGGATTTAACTTATCTTAAAATGCATTTTTCTGTCAACTGTATCCCTTAAAGGGGAATGTACAAGATCTTTCTCATGAACTCTCAAATGCATGGCAATGAATACCGACCCGGAGAGCGGCAGACACTGTGGTGCAGCATGTGAAGTCATCTTGGAGGATGATGTCTGCATCACACACGGGAGCTCCCGGCTTGAACCCTGGCGACTCTGCTTCTAAGATTCCTGCTGATGAGCCCAAGACGCAACGGAGGATGATGGATCAAATATGTTTCTGGTGCTGCACACCTGGAGCCTGGGTGGAGTTCCTGGCTCCTAGCGCTGGCCTGGGCCAGCCCCGTCCATTATTGGTATTTGGGAACTGAAGTAGCAGATGGATGTTCCAATTTATATATATTTTATTAAAAGCACGACTCAGCTATACAACAAATTCCAGATTCACCTAGAGACCTTTGTCCATGAGGACATATCTTGCATTAAACCTAAATCAAAACTAAATGCAGAGGCAGATAATTCAGCTACGAAGGCAAATGTTGGGAAGTGTCTTCTTTGCATTAACCTATCCAGTGGGTGTATTTTCTCATCATCCTTACCTTTTGCATTTGTTTTCTCTTTGCCCAGTTCCTTTGGCACAAGGGCAGAACATTTGCAATCAATGACAAAAATAAAACCCACCAGGTTGTAACTGACATACTGGTTCTAAAGCCAAAACACAGATGAATAAGTCACAATTTGTTGTGAGTTGTTTTATAGTCAGTTTTAACATACAACAATGAGAAAATATCATCTATACATCTTATCTACTTAATTTTGTTTCCTACACATAAAAACTGAAACTCAGTCCTGACACGGGAGCCTAATGGAAAAAGTCCTTGCCTTGCACAGGCAGGGATGATATATTGGTGCTGGTTCGTGTCCCAGCTGCTCCACTTCCCTTCCGGCTCCCTATTTGTGGCTTGGGAGGGCAGTGGGGGATGGCCCAAAGCCTTGGGACTCTACCCATGTAAGAGATCTAGAACGAGCTCGTGGCTTCAGATCAGCTCAGCTCCAGCTGCTGTGGCCACTTGGGAAGTGCATCAGCAGAGGCAGATCTGCCTTTCCAATAAAAATTTTTAAATCTTTAAAAAAAAAAAAAAAAAAAAAAACCTCTTTAGGGCCCGGCGAGATGGCGCAAGTGGTTAAGGTCCTCGCCTTGCACACCCGGGATCCCATATGGGCGCCGGTTCTATCCCGGCAGCCCCACTTCCCTTCCAGCTCCCTGCCTGTGGCCTGGGAAAGCAGTCGAGGACGGCCCAAGGCTTTGGGAACCTGCACCCGCGTGGCAGACCCGGAAGAGGCTCCTGGCTTCGGATCGGCATAGTATCGACCGATGCGCTCACTTGGGGAGTGAATCATCAGACGGAAGATCTTCCTCTCTGTCTCTCCTCTCTGTATATCCGCCTTTCCAATTAAATAAATAAATAAATAAATAAATAAATTCTTTAAATAATTTTCAATTGATAAATGAAAGAGCCACTCTGAAAACAATTAATCTGTTTAAATGAGGGGGTTTTGTTTGTTTGTTTTAATTGGAAAGTCAGATATACAGAGAGGAGGAAAGACAAAAAGGAAGATCTTCTGTCCACGGATTCACTCCCCAAGTGGCCACAATGGCTACAGCTGAGCCAATCTGAAGCCAGGAGTCAGGAGCCTCTTCTGTGTTTCCCACGCATGTGCAGGGTCCCAAGGCCATCATCAACTGCTTTCGTAGGCCACAAACAGAAAACTGGATGGGAAGCAGGACCACCAGGTCAGAACCAATGCCCGTATGGGATCCTGGCACATACAAGGTGAAAACTTTAGCTGCTGGGATATTGTGCTGGGCCCTTAATGAGATATTTTTTTTTTAAGAAAATTGTAAAAATTCTCCAGAATGTAAAAACAAAACTTTTTAAAGGGGTGGATATTTGGCCTAGCAGTTAGATCACCAACTGGGACACCCACATCCCGTATCAGAGAACTTGGTTCAAGTCTCAGATCCTTTTTCTGATTGAGCTTCTTCTTCATGCACACCCTGGGAGTCAGCAGGTGTTGGTTCAAGTACATGAGTCTCTCCCATTTACCCAGGAGGTGTGAATGGCTTTGACCTAACCCAGCCCTATTTAGTGGGAACTGGAGAGTGTGTGGATGATTTGTCTCATTTGTCTGTTTTTCAAAGACAAAATGAAAAAAAAAAAATTTCAAAACAAAAATTCAAGAATGAAATGCAATAAAAGTATTTAAATGAAAATAAATGAGATATAGTTGGGGAAAAAGAAGGGAGGAGAAAAAAAGAGCAACTACAATGCAGCTTGTGATAAAGACCCCTGGCTGCCATGTACTAGCCTGGAGCAGAGTTCCTTGGGAATCCCTTCACCCACATTCTCTCTCATGCAGGTGAGAGCACCCCGCCATAGTTCCTGACCTAACAGGAGGCAGCACACACGCTCTATCAGCCCCAAACACCTGCAATGGAAGAGAAGCACCGGCCTGTACCTCGCATGGAGCTGCAGGGAGCTCTGGACAGCTGGTGCGCACACCCGTGCTGCATGCCTGCCTGCACGTTCTGAGTGTACCTGTGCACACACCCGTGCTACATGGCTGCCTGCATGTTCTGAGTACACCTTTGTGCACATCCTCATGGTATGGATACACCCGTGTTGTTGACTTCAGTGATCTGATTACATCTATGCTGTGAGTCCTCAGGGTCTGAACAAGACAGTCATCTGAGCACACATGTACTGTGGTGTTGTGTTTCCTGCCAAGGTTTAAAGCTACTTTCCAGAGTCTCCCATTCCTTTCCTCAAGCAAAAGATTTTAGATTGAAGACCAAAATAAGCAGTAATCTTCCTAACCCTGTTTTCCCAGGGATCGCTGAGTGAGCATGGGTTCTGGCACCCAGGAGAGAATAGAACAAGGCCAACAGGTGCCATAGCCCAGCAGCATCAGTTTTGACACCCATCTAACTGAACATATTCCAACCAAACACACAGTTGTTCTCACCCAGAGAAACAAGCAGAACGGAGAAGGTTCGTCTTATGACCAACATTCTTCAAGATGATTATAATACAAAGTGATGAGGTCATGATCAATAAATAGGATGAAGGCCAGACCTCTGAGGGCCCAGAAGGGGCCATGGGAGGAGGAAAATCTACAGCTGCCATAATTTTCAAAGATTTCAATTCTTAAGTGCAATTACACATTGTAAAAGAAACATCATTTAAGCCATCCAGAGTTTTTCATCAATTTCATTTCCACCCTCACTCCACCAGAGATTCCATCAAGTTCTAGCTGGGCCAAGCCAACTGGACATCTGACTTTCTGGCAAGGTGCAAAGTTGGCTTAGATTCCAGCAACGATGACCTCACAAGGATTGTGGAGATGCAAGATTTCTGCCGGAACTCTCTCCACCAGGCGAGGTATGTTATGCAATGAGGACATGGACGGATGGACAACGACTGGACACTGTACTTCCCTGAGCAAGACCACAAACCCCTGAACCCATACACACAAAGGAAGATATAGCACTGCGTAATGCAATTCAGTGAGAACCCTCCAGGATACGTTACCTGCCGCCTCGAGCACTGAAAGGCACTACATGGATCCCCAGGGGCCCTCCGTCGTTGGAGACTTGTACCAGCTTTACCACGTCACTGTGAGACAACGATGAATGAGGGAGCATGAACATGGACTGTCAACAAACAGAAAACCACCAGCACGCACACACACACACATACTCCTAGGAAAGACAACACACAAAGCTGCACAATGGGTGCCCAGGCACACACACAGGCAAGGAGATGCAACAGCACCCAACACTGCAGACCTGGTGTCCGGGAGAAGGGCATGGGGAGCAGTGAGCAGTGGGAATAATGATGTTACAAGGACACAGAACAAAGCTGTGCTCAGGTGATTGTGCTGGGTAACCTTGCTCACCTCTGGCTCAAATCAGGGACTCTGCCAACTATCATTACGATGAACAAAGCCAGGAGTCCAGCAGGTGCAGGTTACACTATGCTTTGGCCAGAGCTGGGAGGCAGCCCAGAGAATGCAAAATAATTTTCCCTATAGTGTTGGAAATTGATATTCCAAAGGGGAACCACCATGTGTATCACATGAAGCAACAGGACTGTATTTGAGTTATGTAAGTCCACCACTTATTAGAGGGACAAGACATGGCACATATTTGCCAGGCTCTTTGCAAGAGCATTTCCTATTTAAGAGCTTGAACTGGTGGAAGTTAACCTAACTCAGAGCCTGTAACATTTCTAAGTTATCTGAATGAGATTCTGCTTTCTTACCAGGTTTTTACACATAGAGATGCATCAGAATTTAAGGATCAAGATTCGAAAACAGTACGTCATGCAAATAATTTAGGTAAGCAACAAGAAAAGTGATATTACCATGATTATGGGCAGTCTGGGCAAACACCACAAAACAGATTTATATCATGGAAAAGGCCCATTTTTAGCTGTATTTCTTACATTAAAATCTGAAATTACTCTATGAGTGCTTGGCTTATACAATACAAAGGCTAAATATAAAATGAAGCATATCAAACAAATGAAAACAAAATTTAAAATATGTGCACACACACTAACAAAAATGAAACAGACACTTTGCCATGCTAAAATATGTACTCAGTACTTTTACTAGAAGGAATACTTTTGTATTAACTCATGACTTTTTTCATGATTCACAGACTCAGGGAAAATCCTCTCACAGGTACTGTTACTCTCAATTGAGCAACTACTTAATCACTGATGTATTAATCAGGACAGAATGCTAATAAGGAGACTTTATTTCATGTGATTTCTCCCACAAAGATCTGGGTCACAACAAGCATTCCTACATCCTCAAAGCTCCGAAAGCGGGGCATTCTGCATCTGCACATGTGGTCCCAGAATACAGATACATTCTCATGCCCTGCCTTGGAAGAGCCAAAGACAGTGGAATTCACTGAGCAAGTATGCACTTTGTCACAAAGACAAAAAAAAAAAAAACCCAAAAACAAACAAACAAAAAACCCAAGTTGGTTGCTCGCCCTACTCGAAGCTGTCATGGGGAAAAAATTCTGAGAAAGCCGTCCACTTACACAGGCCAATATTCAAGGTAACTGAAAATTTTTTTCATATTTAAAATAATGGTCCAGGTCCCTAATTCATAGCCTTTGCTCATTGACTAAATAGTCTGAGATTCAGTATGCGCTACAATAGTGCTTGCTTGCTTGCACAGAACCAATTAATGTTTCACGTAATGGTCATTCCCAATATTTTTCAATTTAGCACAGTGGAAAAAACAAACAAATGACCAAGATACTAACAGACAAAGCAATCTGAACAGTTACAGCATTGATGGTGCAGTTAACGTGGCACACATTTTCATCCAAATACTATTTGATTTCTGTAATTCAATAGTATTTGTTAGGCACGAAACTCCAGAAGGGGGCACGCGGACATGCATGCTCTGCTGCTTGCGCTGCAGGACTCACTCAGTCAACGAGAAGACGGTCTTTGGGAAAGCAACTCACAGCCAGGCGTGTCTGTGACTCAGCACATAAACATTCCACATGCCATATGTCTTATGGAAACTTGCGGCAATTAGCGATGTTACATGTATACCACACAGCGGGGGGGAAACCAGCAACAACTCACTCCAGGGAAAAGCTGGGAACGTTCTCCGAGCCCGTGTCTGCATGTCCCAGGGGCTCAACTCGGCTGCTGTCCTCTTCCGTCCCGTCCTCCTCCTGCGGGCAGAACGACACAAAGGGCAGTGGGCTCCATGTTAGGCTCACAGGTGCTTTGGCAGTAGGACATGAAGCCAGGGACCACCAGCGCCCGCCCTACGGGGTCTGGACCTCTCCGTGCGGGAGGATGGCCATGCATGAGGAGGATGTGTCCGTGTGCAGCAGACTCTCTTAGCCGGAAGACTAAGACACTTTCACAAAACCTCCACTCAGGGCAATTCACTGGCCAGCGCTTCTTCACCTAAGCATCTATTTACAACAGTGGCATGATCAACACACGCATGTTTCAAAGTATCTGCTGAACCAGACAGCTGAGACTGTGGCAAACCAACACCACCACCAGAACCTTGCAACTGTCAGACCCCTTCCAGTCCCTGCCAACGTGGTGTATCCCCAGGAGCATGCACTGGTGGGTCTGACCCTAGTCTCAAAGTCTTCATCTGTGACATTTCGCACCACATTCCCCAAACCATCTGGCTGCCTGCCTGCAGGGCTCCTCCTGGGCCTTCAGGCCTCAGTCACAGGGGAACCTTCTGTTGACTCCTGTGCTCCAAGCATAAAGAGACAATAAAAGGCAATCAATATCAGCATCACTCACACCCTGGTATTCTTCCTTTGATAATTAAAGGAACAGTGTTGTAAAGACAGTGTCCCCCATCCTGTCCATTCTCCCTCCCCTTGCCCCCTCAGGGATACAGGCACTGGGAGTGGGTAGGGGGAACTTCCAAAGAGACAAGATGAATCAACATGCATGGGTTCAGAGGGCTAAATAAGATGCCACCCAAGCAACTGTCTTTATTGAACATGAAGGACACGGGTTTTTCATGAAAGACATCACTAACAACATTCATAAGTTCATTATTCTATGTAAGTAGATCATGACATGGGTATAAACAATGGTAGAAAATGGAGCATTCTATCATCCAGGCATATGTAACAGTTTCATTGGGAGTCCATCTTTTGTTCAGGAGGCATCCCACAACGTATCTTCCCTTCTGGGTACGATGGCCTCCCTTGCTGAAGGACTCGACTACTGTAATACTACTGCGGAAAATAGTTGGGAGTGGGGGGCACATGGAGTGGAAGAGGAAATCCTTGAGCCTATGGAACTGTATCATGAAAAACAAAATTTACAAAAAAAAAAAAAAAGCCACTAAAAGTAAAGCTGATCTTTCAAAAGCACTTGGGTAAAGATAAAAATATGTAAAGTTTCTGCTCATTAAAGCAAAAGCAGCATCCCCAGGAATCTCCTGGGCAGCAGGTTCCCAAAGGCCACTGGGTAAAAGAGGAAGAATTCATCCCTTCTATGTGTCTCTGCATCATTTATGCAGGCATCCCCTGAGGGCTTCAAAAAGTCCTTGGAAAACTTCACTGACGAGCTCCATGTCTCTCGCGAGCTTTGCGAAACCCCTACATGTAACATGGTCTGTTTCTCTTTCCTCCCACATCAATTTGACAAGTGATGCTACTATGAACTCATTAAGCCACCCACCAACGGCAAGGGGAGTCCGATACTGGAGACAACTTGTATATTTCTAATCATGTTTTTGTGGGACTCAGCAGAAACTGATGTGGCATACACACAAACATCGATCAACAAAATGATGGGTAAGAGTCTCACTTCAAGACAGAGCGTCAAACAAGATGTTAAATTACAGCAGAGGGTTTTGCCAAGGCAGAGCAGCCACAAACAGTGCCCGGATGTTTCCTCCCAAAGAATTTACCAAGAGAACCGAGCTCTCGCAGGTGCATCCGTCGAGGAGGAGCTGGGTCCCGGGAAGATCGCCATAGAGGCGACCCTGCGCATCTCAGTCCCATCTCTTGGGAGCTGCACCACACACTTTTTTTTTTTAAGATTTATTTATTTTTATTGGATAGGCAGATGTACAAAGAGGAGGAGAGACAGAGAGGAAGATCTTCCATCCAATGATTCACTCCCCAAGTGGCTGCAACGACCGGTGCTGCACCTATCCGAAGCCAGGAGCCAGGAACTTCTTTCTGGTCTCCCACAAGGGTGCGGGGTCCCAATGCTCTGGGTCATCCTCGACTGTTTTCCCAGGCCACAAGCAGGGAGCTGGATGGGAAGTGGAGCTGCCAGGGTTAGAACCGGCATCCATATGGGATCCCGGTGCGTTCAAGGTAAGGACCTTAACCGCTACACTCCTGCGCCGGGCTCCACACAACACCTTTTAAAAGTTAGAAGCTGGCCCATAAGGGGGAAGAGGCCCAAGACTTTGGACTATCCTTTACTGCCTTTCCAGGCCATAAGCGGGGAGCTGGATCGGGAAGTACAACAGCCAGGACTTGAGGCGTTGCCCATAGGGGATGCCAGCACTGGCAGCTGGAGGATTAGCCTGTCACTCCACCACACCATCTTCTGCATAGTTTTATTTAGGGCACTGGTCCTTCGCTGAAGTTGTGACTGAAAATAGGCACATTCAACAAAGATTGTATGCTACATTTCATTTTCCATTTAACCACAGACAGAAGTTGTCAGGTTACAGCACGCATTTAAATCAGACACACCTAAGAGAATGTGCAGATGACTCAACACAGTGCACTTCTTTCCCACCCCTCCAACTGACAGTAGAAGACGGCACCGGAACACAGCACGCGCAACCAATCCCAGAGAGACACACCCCCAATCCGGCTTCCTTGAGAGGGTGAGCATCTTCTGTAGAACAGGAGCCATCCCTGGGGGCCAAGGAAGGGGAGCATGTTCTAGCATGGCGGATGAAGCTGTTATTTCTAACACCAGAGGACCCCCGGTTCAAATCAGACCTACCCCATGTCTAACTCAGCTCACTGCTAAAGTAGCCAGGGAGGCAGAGACGATAGTGCACGTGTGTAGGGGCCCTACCCCTCACACGAGAAGACCAAGAAGGAGCTCTGGGGTTATGGCGTGTACCACGACCGATGGACAGCAAGCAGATCTCTTTCTCTGTCTTCCTCTCTTTGACTCACTCACTCCTATTGGTAAAGAAAAAGAGGCTCAAACTCATTCCTGCTAGGGATGCAAGTGACGACCTAGCCAGGAGCAGGACCTGCAACTGATGTATAACAGAAATGGGGACAGATACACGTAATTAGAAACAGCAATAAATCAGCAGAAACACGGCCCATCAACCACGCGTGGATAAACACTTTAGGGCAATCATAAACAAATACAGGACAGTTTAAGGGGATGTATTCATCTGTTCATGCTTTGTGACTTTCAAAACAATTTAACACAAAACACATTACCTACTCAGCTAAATAAAAAACGTATTTTCTGTAATTTAGGAACCCTTGCCGAACACCTGATATTTATTGTGCTCTGCTGTCTGAAAAGCATTTACATCGCGCAATGTCTCTGGAATGAGCAAGTAAGTGAAGAACAAGATAAACAACCCAGTGGCACAGTCAGGGGGCGGGAGGGAAGACATCAGCACAGATTTCTGTTTGAGGAAATCATCAGAGCAAGCGTGCGACGGTGAGGGTGTCAGGGCAGTGGCTGGGAAGCTGCCTGGGAGACCTGCGTTCCCACTGCAGAGGGCTGGGTTCGAATCCTGGCTGGAGCTCCAGACTTGAGATTCCAGATCCTTTAGGAGGGAGCAGGTGACTCAGACCCCTGTCACTCATAGGAGACACACATGAATGGCTTCTGAGTTGGGAGCCAGAGCTGTGGATGCAGACATTTGGGCGATGCTGCAGTGCTTGGAAGAGCTCTGTATCTCTCTCTTCCTCTCTCCCCTCCAACTCAAATAAAATCAAATTGAAGAGACAGAGGTCAAACATTCTCTAATCTGCTCCCTCCAGAAGAGATCACAAATGAGCCTGCCTTGGCTACGTGGGAGCTGAAGAAGGCATGAGACAGTTCTGAGCCAGAGCAAACGAAGGTTTAGCACCACTGGCAACACTAAAATTTGCCTGTTCACCCACATGGTGCTTCTTGGAGCTACAGTTCCCCCAAGACACCATGAAGATAGCAGCGGAGAGGGGAGGAAGTGGAGGAGGAATGGAGAGGAAGAACAACATTTGCTGAAACCTCACGCCTGCCTGCCCACCCCCCCACCATGGCTCCCACAAGGCAAGCAGTACAGAGTGCCGTCCATATTTTTTTACAGAAAGCCATATTTTCTGTAATTTAAGAACCCTTGCCCCACTGACCCAACCCATGAGGGCCTTCACAGGGGAGAAGCATGGTGAATTGTTAGCTACAGGATTCAGGCTGGCCCAGCCCTGGCTCCTGCAGACATTGGGAAGGCCTCTCAAGTTCTGCTCTGTCTTTCAAATGAAAAAAATATTGAACATTTTAGTGCATTTAAAAAGCTCTAGATGCATGCTTTTTTTTTTTTTAGCAATTTATTTCAAATCAGAATTATATACAGAAAACAAGGGAGAGAGAGAGAACAAGTGAGGGAGCACTTCCAGCCCCTGGTTCACTCCCCAGCTAACTGCAACAGCCAGGACTGGGCCTGGCCAACGCCAGAAGCTTTATCCGTGTCTCCGACATGGGTGCAGCAGCCCAGCTGCTTAGGTCATTTGCCACTGCTTTTCCCAGGCCCATCAGCAGGGAGCTGGGTAGGAGGAGCAGTAGCCACGGACTTGAACAGGCATCCACAGGACAACTTTAGCCACAACACCGGAAAGCCAGCCCTTAAAACCTGTAAACCCTGGGGACTCCGCAGGGCACATTCCCAGAGTCCCTGGGGAAGACAGCAGACCTGACTGGAGGGCCAAAAAGCATGACAAGGATGTCCTTGGGAGGCACGTGATGTCTGCTGCCTCAGGCGACAGCTCAGGAGTAGGAAAGGTGGTGGCAAGAGCCACTCCCAACCCCTCACAAAGGCCTCCTCACCCCAGAGGCCTGTATTTTTTGGAACACCACCAAGAAGAACAGCATTTGTCAGATAATACAGAGGTTTTCAACTGAGCTATCAGAAGCCACAGAGAGAGAGCGAGAGAGAGAGAGAGAGAGAGAGAGAGAGAGAGAGAGAGAGAGAGAGAGAGGCAGCTCC